ATGAAACAGAAACTTTTGTCATGGTATGAGAATTTATGAAATATCTCCTTGGTTTTAGTCAGTTAGAGCTGAGGGGGTGAGTATGTATGTGGACAGGGCTGTCTTCCAAAATAAGTCATTTAACGTACTTTTATTAAGAGCTTTCTCTGTGGCAAGCATGTGTACATGGGTCCTCACCTGTTCCTTGCACTTGAGAAGCCTTTAATCGGGGAGACCTGACATCTTAATAAATTCTAGAAACCGTTATTCATGCTATTAGGGGTGTTCAGAAGAAGGACTGGCTTATTTTCAGGCAGGGCAGGGAAGTAGGAAGAGCTTTTTAGATCTTTGACTTCATCAGGATAAAATCAGCTTTATCATAGGATAGAGGGGATGAATCAAATGATATAGAAAACAGTTTGAATAAAGATACAGGTTTGAAGACACCTCTTCAAGTGGTTTAAATGACAGGAGCATGGTAGCCAGACTGGTATCAGAAAAGTGGACAAGGGCCAGTTCTTAGACAGGTTTGTCATTTAAGAAATTTGAGCTTTATCATGTAGACGAGGGAATCCCTGAAGGGTATTCTGAGGAGTAGTTATAGTATCAGACAGAAACGTCACTCTGGCCGTAGTGTCCAGGATGGGTTGAAAAGTTAAGACTGGAAGCTGCAAGGCCATTTAGGCGACTGCTGCAATAGCTCTGGCATGAAAAAAACACGTTAAGGCAAGATTGTCCAAGACTTTTAACACTGAGATTATGGTCTAACTCCTTGCTTTGCAGTGATGTTTTGTTTCTTTGTTTACTGGTTGAAAACTCAATTTTTATATGTAGAATAGATTTATACAGCCAGTTCAGATGCAAAGATTATTTTACACAGGAAAGTATTGATGTCATAGGCTTAAAAAAAAATGTAATGTAATGTAATTATTTTACAGGATATAAAAAGTTAACATTTGAAGGCAGTGTCTCATAACTCAAGTTTAAGATTTACAAGTAACGTAAGAGACTGTATTAAATAAATATGATAAAATAGAGTCCCTAGTTCATGCAAAACTAATTCCGGAGGCCAGTGCTGTCTGGCAGAAATATAATGTAAGCACAAACACAAAGCATCTATATAACTTTAAACTTTTTAGTAGCCACATTAAAAGATAAAAAACTCAAACAGGTAAAATTAATTTTAATAATATTTTATTTAAACCATATATCTAAAATATAACCATTGCTAAATGCAATTGATAAAAATTAAACACTTTTAATATTCTTACCATCTAGAAAGGCAGTGTATTTTGCATTTGTTTTTCACTGAAATTCTTTAAGCACTTCTCATTTCAGACTAACCACATTTCAAGTGCTAGTTGCTACCATACTAGACAATTGCAGTGTAGCTCTAGATAACTTTCAAAATGCCATTCCAAAGATATATGCAATATTTCAGCAGCACTTTCAAAGATATATTAATAATTATTGATAGAAAGGTTTTAAATCACTTGGCATTTTAACTTAAATACCTAAATATATGGTTAATAAGGCATATTAAATTTTGTTTTTGCTTTTGTTTTTTTTTCTTGAAACAATGTCTTGCTCTGTTACCTGGACTAAGGTGCAGTGGCATCATCGTAGCTCATTACAGTCTCAAACTCCTGGGCCCAAACAATCCTCCTGCCTCAGCCTTCCAAGTAGCTGGGACTACAGGTGTGTGCCACCGTGCCCAGCCAATTATTATTATAATAAATATTATAATTATTATTGTATAAACAAGGTCTTAGTATATTGCCCATGCTGGTCTTAATCTCCTGGCCTCAAGCAATCCTCTCGCTTTGGCCTCCCAAAATGTTGGATTTCAGGTAGGAACCACACCTGGCCAAATATTTATAATATACTAGTGATATTATTACACAGAAAATGGAAGAGAGAATTACTTAAATATTTGATTATTCTCCATGTTTATTACTTTTTGTAGTTTCCTAATCCTTAATTTTACTTAGATTTCGAGGGAATCTACAATCATATTCTCTAGGCACAATATATTAAAAACCTATGAACTTTAAAAATATATGATGATTTAGTATTAAAAATGAGAGTCTAAAATCACCTAAATTATTTGCATTATATATCAGTAGTAGGTGGTTGCATAAGCCAAATCATCTTTATTGCATTGTTTAGATTTTTGAGCTGACATTATTAAGAAAATTATACATACAAGATGGTCAGACTCTGTTTAGGCCTTTTAGAATCTCATAAACTCCAGTAATTTTATAGGAGTAAATAGGAGGTTATATTTTAAATAGAGAGTCACTAGAAAATTTCAAGCTTTTTGAATACCTACAAACTTCAGTCAAAAAATTATGGTGAGAGTTGTTATATATACATACTTTTCCCCTTTAGCAGTCAGATGCCAGCACCAAGTAGGTAAAGAGTTGATAAAATCAGGATTAGAGTTTTGGCAGGTTAAAGTAGGATGGAAAGTTTTTGCATAAGAGTGATTGTGGTAATGGACAGCAGACTCCAAGCCAGTTAAGAGGATAAGTCTTAAGAGAGAGAGTAAAGCTTGGTGGCTCACACTTGTGATCCTAGCACTCTGAGAGGCTGAGGTGGGAGGATCCCTTGAGCTCTGGGGTTCAAGACCAGCTTGAGCAAGATGGAGACCCTGTCTCTACTAAAAATGAAAAGAGTAGGTAGGTGTGATGATGCCACCTGTAGTCCCAGCTACTCAGGAGGCTGAGGCAGGAGAATCACTTACTTGAGAACAGGAGTTTGAGGTTGCTATGAGGTAGACTGAGGCCATAGCACTCTACCGAGGGCAACCGAGTGAGACTCTGTTTAAAAAAAAAAAAGTGAGATTGAAATGTAAAATTAGTGGAATCAAAGGATTGAAATCTGGTGGGGATGGAGAATGTAGAACTGTAAAGATAGATGGTAATAGACAAAGTTTGAGATGCTTGAAATCAAGCTTTCCTAAGTGCATAGTACTTGTGAATACGAGGTCTAAAGGGAGAGGACATAAAGTGGAGGATACACTCGTTGCAAGTAAGTTAAGGAACTAAAAGAGAAAAGTATTGGAATTGAGTTATTCATATTTTTGTAAGTACTGGTAGAGGGGAAGACAATGAACATGGTGCTACAGTTTTCAGTGGGAGAGGAAGTAACCAGGGGATGGGTTGGGTCCTGTACTCTAGGTCATTGGCTGTCAACTGGGGACATTCTGCCCCCCAGGGGACATTTGATAATGTCAGAAGACATTTTTGGTCATCACAACTGGGATTGGAGGGTGCATATTACTAGCATCTAGTGAATAGGGGCTAGGGATGCTTCCAAACACCTAGCATTGCATAGGACAGCCCCTCACAACAAATATTACCTAGCCCACAATGTCAACAGTGAGGAGGCTGAGAAATCCTGCTTTGTGGATGCAGCAGAATCTAGGTATGTTGGTTGACGAACAGGTAAAGAATTATCAATTAAGTATTGTGTCTCCATTTTAATTGTACAATGCAGCAGCGCCCGTAGTTCAGTGGGTAGGGTGCCAGCCATATAGACGGAAGCTGGGTTCATATAAACGGAGGCTGGCGGGTTCGATGTCCTCTGCTGGGCCAGCTAAAACAACGACAACTGCAACAACAACCAAAAAAATAGCCAGGTGTTGTGGCAGGCACCTGTAGTCCCAGCTACTTGGGAGGCTGACACAAGAGAATCATTTAACTCCAAGAGTTTGAGGTTGCTGTGTGCTATGATGCCATAGCACTCTACCCAGGGTGACAGCTTGAGACTCTGTCTCAAAAAAATAAATAAATAAATAAATTGTATAATGTCTTCTAAAAATATATACATTAAAAATATATGAGTAGTGCTAAGTTACAAACATCTGACTGACATACAACTTGGATTTAGGAACAGATGCTATTACAGCAAATCCCTGAGATACAAACATTTGATCAATGTATGACCCATATATGAGCAGAGGCTACTATAGGTAATAGGTAAATCTATCTGTTTCAACTTATGTACAAATTCAATTTAAGAACCACAGAACCTATCTCGTTCATAATCCAGGGACCGCCTATACATTCATTCCTTTACTAAGTCAAATATCTGTTACATTTCTACTTAATGGGGCATCACTACTCTAGGTGTTTAAGAGTAAATAGATAAAGATCCTTGAACTGGAATACCTTTTATTCAAGCAGAGGGAAGAAAGAGAATAATAAACATAACAAATAGTAAATTAAGCAGTTTGTTATAAAGTGGTGCTAAAAAGAGGAAAAGTACAGCAGATTAAGGATATTGGGAGTGGTGGGGATGGGAAGAGAAGGTGGGTTGCGATTTTAAATGTAAGGGTGTCAAAGTAAGCCTCACTAAGGTGATATCTGACCAAAGGTTTAAAGAGGTAAAAGAATAGAATGAGTAAGTATTGATCTGCAAATACAGTTTGGGTTTGCATTTGGTTCACAGGAAGGGGGAGTAGTTCAAGGTGTCTGCTAGAAATATGTTAAGTGCTTTCAGGGATAGGGATCAGACAGGGTTTCTGCCCTCATGGAGCTTCCTAACAAACTAAATGACAGAAAAATGAAGACAACAAACACAGTAATTTTGCCCACACTAATTGTTACTGTTTTCTTTTTCATTTGGTAGTCAATGACAGATCAATGATTACTCCTTATTTTCTACTCCTCCACCATATTTGCTCCTTCTGAGAAAATAGAATTAAATCAGTGGTTCTCAATAATGCTGCAATGTATTTACATTGTTAAAAAGGGGTCGCAACCCACAGGTTGAGAACGGCTGACTTAAATGGTAACTTAGATTACACAGTGAAATGAATGAAGTCATGAGGTGATAACAATGACTTTGGAGTAGAAGACCAAGAGAAGTGGATCAGACAAATGGAAAGAAAGGTTAAATGTACAAGAGGAGCTAATGATTTGGAAAGAAAGGCTAACAGTATCTCCATTAGCCTTTAAAAACTGCCCATTTTCATGATCTGAAACAGTCTCTCGCTTTGTCCTTTTGCCTGTTAGATATGGTAACAGCACTAAGAACTATGCTGTTCGAGTTGGAGATTATCATACCCTGGTGCCGGAGGAGTTTGAAGAAGAAATTGGTATTCAACAAATTGTGGTCCACCAGGAGTATCGCCCAGACAGCAGTGACTATGACATTGCCCTGGTTAGATTACAAGGACCAGAAGAGCAATGTGCCAGATTTAGCAGCCATGTTTTGCCAGCCTGTTTACCACTCAGGAGAGAGAGGCCACAGAAAACAGCTTCCAATTGTTACATAACAGGATGGGGTGATACAGGTAATGTAAATAATACAAAGGAATAAATGAGGAAGGCCTGGCACTTCCTTATGTTGGTATTATCTGCACATTTGCATGTGCAGTGGGTAGTAAGTCCTTATAAAGGGGTTTAGGTTTAGCGGTTTGGAAACCACCAAGCGTGAAATGCTTGCATGTAATCTGGCTTCATAGCCTGAGGGTATTTTTGGTTCCATTTAGAACTGTAGCACCACTGGGCACAGTGGTTTCCACCTGTAATCCCCCGGGACTTTGGGAGGCCAAGGCAGAATTGCTTGAGGCCAGGAGTTGGAGACTAGCCTAGGCAATATCTTGAGATGACATTTCCACAAAAAGAAAAAATATATTTAGCCAAGTGTGGCGGGTGCTTGTAGTTCCAGCTACTGGGAGGCTGGGGCAGGAGGATCTTGAGCCCAGCAGTTTAAGGCTGCAGTGAGCTATGAATACACAATTGCACTCATTTTAACCTGGGTGACAGAGTGAGAATTTGTCTCTTGAAAAAAAGAAAAGAATCTTAGGTAGCTCAAACCCAGAGAAATCAATTGCCTATGGAATCTAGAGGTAGGGAATCTTCTATTCACTGTTAGTTCCCCAGACTAGGGAGGGGGATAAAGGAAGATAGTTAAGAACCTACTCCAAGACTTGGGCTTGGCAGTCTACATTTAACTTAATTATTTTTTAGTCTGTGCTTTTCCAGATGACTTTGATGTAGCTGGACCAGCTAAAGGGCTTTGGTGTTTGATAGTTTGTTTCTGTGGAATGGAGCCCTTTATCAAACTTAAATCTAATAGAGATTCCTATAGAACAAAGGCAGAGCTGCTGAGGTTGAAGTGGAGCTGAGGTTGGAGTGAAACTCCTATTTCTTTCACCCTCCCTCCCATTGTCACCTTGCAACCCCTAAACAAGACAGTTTAGTTATGCTGTACTCAGGGGAAGACAGCTTCCTGCATTATTGGGCAGTAGAGTTAAACCAACATATCCAGGCTACTTGCTTGCTCAGGATGGGTCTTGAAATAGACCTATGTCTTACCTGTATTAGATGTTTCAATTAAAAAATGAGTATTGAATAAGAAACGATAGGTTTGTTGCTCTCCATTAAAAATAATTACACTGATAACTGTATTCTTGAAGTGTCAAACAAGTATTTTCCACCAGTGATAATAACATCAGTAAGGTTTTAGTTAGTAAAGGCATCTTAGTGTTTATTTTATCTCAAACCACACTAACGCTGGGCTTCTGACTTATATATTTCATAGCAGCAACATGTAGAACATCTATAGCAGATACAGAATACTAAAAAAATATGGGGGCCTTATCCTGGCTTAAACTGGAAAAAATTTAAGAAGAAAGGGAAACACTCCTCAATGATATAATAAAATTAGGATGAATGCCTTCTTGGTATACTATGTTGATCCATGAAGCACATCAATCCCCTGAGAAGGATTAAGGTTACTTCATAAGGGTTTAGTCATCTTCCTTTGGACATCACACATAGACATGACCAAGGAAGCACATTTTATGTTATTTATTATGGGTTACTTATTCTACTTCAGTGAATAGGATCAGAGAATGCTGGTGGAATCTATACCCTAAAAAAGGGTATCATGGAAGACATACACATCCATATATATTTCAGCCACTCAACAAGAATGAATGGCTTACCAACAATCAGGTGGTAAAATTTAAGCCTGTGTATATACCAGAAAGTCTGTACAATGTTCAATTTCTGAATCACCCTTATACAATACCATGTTCCTTATTTAGGACAGACAATGCCACCTTGTATGCTTACATATAATTGCCATTTATAATTAATCCTGCAATTAAATGAAGTAGAAGAATCTCACATGAATTGATAGAGCACTAAACCAGCATGCATTCTCAATTTTTAAATATACAAATACTGAAGTCTGCACAAACATGCTTTCTTTAAATTATCTTTGTTTATGTTAACTAATGTTACTCATTATTCCTCATGGGGGCAGCAGCTCACACCTGTATCCTCAAACTCTGGGAGGCCCCAGTGGGAGGATTGCTTGAGGTCAGGAGTTTGAGATCAGCCTGAGCAAGAGGAAGATCCTATCTCTATTAAGAATAGAAAAATTATAAATGCATCAATGTACAAAGTTATGATTTAATAAAAAAAAAATCAAAAAATAAAAATAGAAAAATTAGAGCGGCACCTGTGGCTCAGTGAGTAGGGCAACTGCAACAAAAATAGCCAGGGAGTGAGGCTGAGGTAAGAGAATCACCTAAGCCCAAGAAGCTGGAGGATGCTGTGAGCTGTGATGCTACAGCACTCTACCTAGGGCGACAAAATGAAACTGTCTTTAAAAAAAAAAAAAAAGAAAGAAAAATTAGCTGGGCATGATGGTTATTTTTAGGTCCGGGTTCTCTGGAGGGGGAGACAGGACTGCTTGAGCCCAGGAGTTTGAGATTGCTTGTGAGCTAGCACTCTGCCCAGGGTGACAAAACAAAATTTTTTTTTCAGTACTTAGAAACAAATTAGTGAAGAGTAAGAGTTACGGTGTCAACATTCCAAAAGGCAGCTAAGGTCATGTTATCATTTATAACTTTCACCCATTTTAAACTACTATAGATTATTTTTATTTAAGACTTAAGTGTTCATTAACTGTTAAATGCTGTGATCCCTAACTTATCCATTGACTAATTCAGATGTTTAATTTGAGTAGGACGGGCATATTCAAGGACACTACAACAAGCAGCCATCCCCTTACTTCCTAAGAGGTTTTGTGAAGAACGTTACAAAGGTCGGTTTACAGGTAGAATGCTCTGTGCTGGAAACCTCCAGGAACACAAACGTGTGGACAGCTGCCAGGGAGACAGCGGAGGACCACTCATGTGTGAACGGGCTGGGACCAGTTGGGTGGTGTATGGGGTGACCTCCTGGGGATATGGCTGTGGAGTCAAAGATTCTCCTGGTGTTTATACCAAAGTCTCAGCCTTTGTACCTTGGATAAAAAGTGTCACCAAACTATAATTCTTCATGGAAACCTTAGAGCGAATAGTACTTAAACTGATTGAACTTTTAATTTCCACTATGGACAGACTGCCAGAGATTGACAACTAATGGGGATTGAGATCCTTTGCTTCATGTTGTGATAAAAATTGTGTACCTTAAAAAAAAAAATTGTGTACCTTTTGCTGCTTTTGAGAGAATGTGATGTGAACATTTTGGTTAAGATACCTCAGTGTAGTATCAGTTATCCTTAATTAGGATTGTTGTCTACCCAAATTTCACTGGAGACTAAAATTATTCTCATTTGAGCCTTATTTATCTATTTCTCATCCTTCTCCAGAAGGTATTCTATATTCATTCTGCAATATGACTATTTTACAATTTATCTGGATTGGGAACTCCATATAATTTAATCAATCATGGTACTATGTCTATCAATTTATAGTAAATGCCCATTATTTGACATATATGTAAAAAACTTTACTATATTTAGGAGTGGAATTATTTCCTATTGATGCTTACATCTTTTAAAAAAAGACATCTTCATTCATCATCACCTTTGTAGCCTTTGTCAACTGAGGAAATCAAGGAGCAAGAAATCCCATAAAATACTTCCAGAATAGGTATCACTAAGCCACAAGGGTATTTGCCTGTTAAGACACATTCCCAAATGAAATGACTTAGTTTACCTTGTTAAGTACCAAGCTACAAAAACATAGCAAGACCTCACCTGTAAAAAAAAATTATGCTTCTATGCTGTGTATGAACTACTAGTTGGATATACAACCAATTTTGTCCAACATGCTAACGCTATCTAATCACTTTTTTAGCAATCTCTCTACACTTTTCAATTTAGTGTAGAATAAGAAATGTTTTTTCCTTAGCACCATGCTCCATGACTCTGGTTAAGAGTGCCATCTATTGAAATATTCCTGTAACTGGTTTTATGTATACCTGTGGGTTTTCCAAAAATAAACTGATACAACCCAATCACAAAATACTACTAACTGAAAATTCAGTAGTACATTCCTGGTCTATGTATGTGAGAGTTTTAGAATAACCATGTCAATCCACTTGACACATACACCAATAATAGCATACGCCAGGCTCTGCATCAGATGTTTAGACCTCACTATTTGTAAGTCCAGTAAGGTTTTACAATAGAAAAAACAGACTTACTTTAGATCATGGGGAGACAATTCGAGAAAATTTGATTCCAAACTCCAGGAAAAGGAGTCTCAACGCTAGCAAGTTCTTCCACCCAGTGGTAGGGGACAGCTGCTTATTCTGTGTATTTACACAACATTCTTGGTAGTAATGCACAATCTTTGCTCAAGTATAACAGGCACACTCAAGATAAATAACACTTCCACACATGAATCCTTCCTCGAATGATAAGTAGCATAACAGGGGAAGAGGTTAACATGAACTCTAGGATAGTTATAATCCTGCCACGAAGTAACTTTGCCAGTTTCCTTTCTGCATCAAATAATGCTTTTTGTAATTTCCAATTTGTAAAAACTGGTGCAAACCTAAAGGTGCTTTATAGGTCTGCTCTGCAGATTTGTGATGCTGTCAGGCAGAACAGCATTAAAATTTTTCTAAAAAGCTCATGATTTTGATACTTTTAAAGCAGCGTTTAGATGAGAAGTGCTACATATGGTAAGCACTTGCACGAGCACTAGGGGGAAAAATGTGCAATACAGGTGAGAAAATCTTTACTGAAACTCTCAGGCTGCCCTGGCACATTGCCAGTACAAACCAAATCTTTATGATTAAGTCGACGGGCAAACCTCTAAGAGGCAGTACACGGGCAGTCTGCTCAATCTTGAAATATTACATTAACGTGATTTTATCATAGCCAATTTTGTCATGTGACTTTTTAAAGGTAAAACGTTAGTGCACATTTGTGTAAATAAAGTGTGTAACTTTTCTCCTTGTAGAGTTGCCTGAACGTTTTGTGTGGTTGTCTGCTCCCTCCCTTGGGGTTAACTTGTAATTTTTATGGATTAACTTTTTCCAAATGCTGTTATAACCTTACAGCAGCACGCATTCATGCCACTTGCACACATCCTCACAACAGTTCACAGGAGGTATTCTGTTCACTATTTTTAGCCACCTTTTTGCCTATTAATCACAGTCAAGAACCGCTGAGTTTCCACGTGAGTTGAGCATTTTATTCATTATCAAAGAATCCCTCCTAAAAACTCTGGCCTATATTTAAAATTGGTGCCCTGATAGTTTCCAGATTATTGGAAACACCCATTCCTCCAAATACGATTGGAAAATATAGGAATCCACTGCAGGATACTGCATAGGACTTCATCCACGATCATTTCGGACTGATACCTGCAAGAGAAGAATAACCGGCATTATAAAACTCGGATCCTTGTACTTACCTCACTGTTCTGAGATTTCATCAGCAAATTTAGTTGGTCTAAAAATTACAAAATGCCAGCAGAACAGGACGTTACCGTTCCCAATTCTTAGCGCTAGAGGGCTTTCAAATTAGCTCCTAAGTACGAAAAGGAAAACATACCTTTATCTTTCCACCATCAATCGGAACAAACGCAGCTTCCTAGAAAGATTTAAACAACAGCTTTAAAAAGTTTACCCAATAACCGGCACTCTTCGGATTTTTAACAACATAGAATGTTACTTGTGCAAGTCAGAATCTGATACCAATTAAATGGTGACAGCTTTGCCAATAAACAAGAATATGCTCTTCCATGGCTAGGAAGGGAGACTGCCACAGTTGACAGGTCCCAAAGACACATGGAGATTCACAATTCAAAACCGAATGAGCAGGCAGGCACAACTTACGATCTCACTCACCATCCGGACGGAACTGGCGGTTTTCACAGACAGTGGAATTAAGACGACCACATGACCTTGACGGTGGAACTAATAACTTTGTCAACCATAGTCACCAGGTGCATGGGATCTTTTCCCGCTGGGGGCCATGGCGTACTGAGGCTTAGGGCCCAGGGCTGCACGTGGCTGTCCCGTGACCTAATGAAAATCTAAGTCCGTTTAAGTTTGCAAACCTAAAGGTTTTCAAAGCTGACTCTGATCTACCAATACAACAAGATCTCTGAATCCCTAGTTAAGTCAGTAAATTTTGTCCCAATTATCATTTTAGCACACAAGACACAAAAACGGACCCACCAGTCCAACGCCTCCCGATGTAAAAGGCTGAATGCTTCAGCGCACGCGCTCTTATAGAGGTGATGACGCTAATCCGGGGGACGTGCCTCGAGGGGCGGGGCCTTACGTTATCTCACCCTCAGTTTCGCCCCTCCCCAGCTACGCCATGGCCCCACCCCTTCCGTTGGGCCAGCTGTAACCGGAAGGCCCGCCTCTTCTCACGGTTTCTGAGCTCCTTTCCCCGCCCATCGTCGAGCGCTAAGCCGGTCTTTTCGCGCTGAGTCCTGACGCATGCGTATACCCGAGAACCAAAAACATTCTGGTGATGCGGTGAAAACCTGACTTTCTGTCGCCTGCTGGCTGAACGCTGCGTGAAGACTGTGGCTTACTGTTAAATCTAGGATAGTTGTTTTAGTTTAGTCTTGTTACAGAAACACAAGATTTGACAGTTTTCTGCTGCTTAATCTTTTGGTAGGTTAATTTCAAACTAGCTGATTTTTTTGTCTCCTTGCAATGAGCTGTCCGTGACTTTTATCTTCCTTTGGAAGTGCTGTTTCCGAAGCGCTGGTGGCAGTGGTCTGCTCTCAGGGTTTTGTTTTTTATTCTTGTCTAATCTGTTTGGAGTATTTGCCCTGAGTACTGACAGGCTCTTTAAACCATTCGGTAAGCGCAATGTTAGAAAAAGGGAAGGACGGTGCGCTTAGGGAGACCCGGTTACGTGCGTCTGTGCGCGTTCCCGGCATTGTGGTCTAACCCACAGACTTTTGCGGACGTCGGGACACTTTTGGACTTCTGTGACTCTCAAAAGCGGAACGTCTGGTTCTAAATTCCCCTTATGTACGATTCTTTGAGGGTGCAATTAAAGAAAGTAGAGCTACTGCCCTTGTAGATTTCCTAACGTTTAGAAATAGTTTTAGTCTTACACGTGTGCTTATTAAATAACACTAAATGTGTTTTCTGTTCTGATTTTTATTTTCCTGGCACATTGTAGTAATTATTGTCAGGGAAACAGTGACGATCCACAGAAACGTCATGTAGTCATTACGTACGTCTTTTGAACACTGAATTTATTTACAGCCAAAAAATGTTATGGTTAGGATTGGAATGCACAAGTTTATAGAGAAGATAACTTATTATTTTTTTTATTTCAGGTTAATGTGAAGGTACAAACAACTAGGTTACAATATTTGCCTTTGTTAGGTAGAATCTCTCTTGTAGTTGTGTCCCGCACCCAATAGGTGTGCCATATACCTTTAACAGTAATGTGCCCTTTATGTGGGAGCACCCCCATCCTCTCCTCTCCTCCCCACTCTTTAATTATAACTTAAAGTCCCCATCCCTAAATACGATCACATTCATAGGTACTGGAGATTAGGACTTCAACATGAATTTTAGGAGCATAATTCAGCCTGTAACACTATTTATTTATGTTAAACTATGGTAATATCTTACCAAAGAAATTGAATGTTTCCATTGGCTTACAGAGTTACAACAATGAACATCAAAAGTGGGAGTTAGTGTGTGCGTACCGTGTGTACATCTTGGCTTTTGACAAGACCTTTGTGATTCATCTGAAATCTTAGACTTAAAAACTAGGCTTAAAAGTTATTCCCTTTTCTACCCATTTTGTTTATGCTTTTTTCTCTATCTTGAATGCCTATCTTGACTCAGCTTTCAAAGATTTGCTCTAATTTCACTTGTTCTATGAAAATTTTCATTACTGCAACTGGATTTGTTTTTTTCCTTTTTTGACATACTATAGTACTAACCGCCGTTTTTCTTGTGGTATGTTTATTACAGACTTCTTGAGGTAAAAGGACTATGTCGAACCCTTACTTGAAGTGCCCAGCAGAAGGGCTTGCACTAAATGAGTGCTCAGTTGCATTTTTCAATGCTTTCAGGTACTCACATATTTCTGAAATTGGAAAGGTTTTATATTTATTTTAAGAAGCCGTTTTTTCTCTAGGACGTGGAATTTAATCCCCCTTCCTGATCTCAGCACCAAATTTACTGTGGGCCTTGCATGGTAACTTGCCATCAAAGGGTACAGTAAGGAAAAGGGGGAGAAAGCTTAACTTTATAGTTGTGGAAAGGGTCAAACACTACCTAGTCTAGGTGATCCTTATTAACATCAGCCGTAAGTCATGTAGGGTGTACTCGGATACAATGTGATATGGTCATTTCACCTCGCCTTTCTCTGTGCTGTTCTTCCTTAAAGCCCATACCTCAGTCTGACCATGAAAAAAAAGATCAGATAAAATCAAATTGACAGACATTTTACAAATTACCTAACCAGTATTCAAAATTGTCTTGCTCACAAAAAACAAGACAAGGCTGAGAAATTGTCATACTAGAGGAGATGATAGTAATGAGTAACATGTAATGTGATATGCTGGATGTTGTCCTCAAGCAGAAAAAGGATATCAATGGAAAACCAGTGAATCTGAATAAAGTGCAGAATTTAGTTAACAGTAATGTACCAATATTCATTTCTTAGTTGTGACAGATAAAGATGTTAAAAAAGGGAAGTGGGATGAGGGGAGTGTATAAAAATCCCCATTCCATTTTGGCAACTTTTCTGTAAATCTAAAACTTTAAAGTTTAATTTAGAAAAGATATCCTAACTTTATAGTTCATTGTATTTTCATTTTAGGACAAAGTAGTACTTCAGTAACAATTTTATATACTGTGAGTATAAAAGTTTTGGCTGAGGTGACAATAATAAATGTGTGGGGATTTGAGATCAAATCCAATGAATTTAGCTACTATTCAAACCAAGGCTTTGAGCATTAGGATATTCAGGCGAGACAATGGGCTAATATGTACATAGAAGAATTAAAAAGTGATTGTTGAATAAAGGTTAGTTTGAGAATTTTAAAAGTAGTGTGCAAGTCAAATCTGTTAGATAAGATGATGGCAGGCAGTATTTTAACTCTTCATTTTTATGTAGGCTGAACGGTTTTTTGTAGAATACTCATTGTACAAGACATTGGGGATTCAGAGGGGTGAGGGCGGGAGGGGGTGGATGGTGAGAAATTACTTAATGGGTACAAAGTATTATATATTATTTGAGTACTGAATACACTAAAAGCCCAGACTTTGCTATGCAATATATCCACATAATAAAATTGCATTTGTACCCCCTTAAATGTATGCAAATTAAAAAATTACAATATTCATTCCTCAACGGCGCTTCTCCTTTTATCCTTTTGTGATTTTAGTATAGAAACAGATTTAACATATGATTGTATGTCTCATGAATGCTCAGATACATGGGAGAAAATAAAGTCAGGAAATAGCCTGTAGACTTATTTTTATCTTAAAATACTTAGGGAACCTAAACTTTTAGTGAGTATGTACTAACAGTGTGATACTGCTGCTAAAAAATTTTGTCTTGCTGTAATGATAAAAACTTAATGTTCTGAAGGGAGAAGATGAGAGTCCTACTCTATACTGGAATATTCTTTTTTCTTTTCTTTCTTTCTTTACTTATTTATTTAAGTTTTTCTTCTTGGTTCTGTATGGAATATTCTTTTTAGTTCTGAACACCTTGTTCAGTTGTTAAACATTTATTAGACTCTAGCAAATGTTTATTGAGCAGACATGGCCCTTGCCTCAAGATTTTAGAATAGAATTGAGTAACTTATAGTTAGTAATATCACAATATTTTCCAAATTATTCAAAACTCAAAGCAAAGAAATTAGTTTTGACTTCCCTCCATCCTCTATTTTCAGTATTTAGTATATTTTTAAATCAGCTGGAGTACATGTATTAGTTGTCTATTTCTGTGTATCAAATTAGCCTAAAGCATAGTGTCTTAAAAACAATAAGCATTTATTATCTCACATGGTTTCTGTGGGTCAGGAATCTAAGCTTAACTTGCTCAGTATCTCTCATGAGGTTGCATTCAGGATGTTGACTGGGGCTGCATTCATCTGAAGGTTTGAATGGGGCAGGTCTAGAGGATTCTCTTTTGAGGTGGCACACTCACAGACTTGGCTAGTTAATGCTAACAATTGGTAGCTGGCGTCAATTTCTCCACAGGGATACTGGATTATCCCCATGGCACTCATGAAGTGATCCATGAGAGGAAGCCCCAGTGCTTTCTGTTGACTAGTTTATGAAGTTACACATCATCATTTGTTAGAAATAAAAGTTATTAATTTCAGCTCACTTCCACATTGCTTTGTCATGGAATTTAAGCCAGACAAGGAGATCATACACAAAATACTTGAAAAGAGTGAGGGATATTGAAAATGTGGTAAGTAGGAGCAATGAATTTTGAGGTGATGGTGGGCGAGAGGAATATGAGAATTGGGGTACTAGAATAAATGTTAGAGGTCATGAAACATCTATAATGTATCAATTGAGAAGCTTAGCAAGCAAAATGCTGAAACTTTTATGGTTTAGCCTGAAAAGTTGTGGAATTTCCCAGGAGCTCTATGATCTCAAGGTGGCGTCCATCACTTTATGAGTGAATGCCTGATTTATTGTAGAAACTCACACATCAGTGGGATTCTACACTGACATTTCATTAAATGTTTAACATCTCAAAACTTGATTTTTTCCTTTTTCCTTAGATGGATTGTGCACCTTGGTTTAATCATTTACTAAGAAGATGTTGTTCATTTAAATTTTAACATTTAATGTGGCATATTACTGTTTTGGAGTCTTTGTAAACTGGTATTTGTGAAATATCTAATGTTTTCCTACTATACAGGAAATTCATACACTTTTGGAGAATGATTGATTTTTACTTCCAACAAGATTTCTTAAAATGTATGTACATCTTTTTGGCACCCCTGTGTGTTAAAATAATTTGAAAGTTCAATGATCACTTATTAAAATTCTCTTGTTTTTCTTCTCTATAGGTTTTTCATAATGTCAGACATTTACTGTTGTTTTCCAGCTCCAAAATTCCTTTGGACCAATATCCATAGGTTTAGAGATATCTGTATTAGTGGGAAAATAAGCTTATGTTTATATAAAATCTGATGGAAAGAAACAAAATTTCATGAAGCATCA